TCAGCCCGCGGTCCCTGTGCTTTGCCGAGCTTGTTCCAAGTAGGTGCTTTAGACCACTGAGCCATCTCGCCAGCCCCCTACCTCTCATTCTACCACTTACAGTGTTTTAGAGAAAGAGGTCAGACTTGGGAGCTTGGGTTAAGGCCCCAGCCCAGCTACTGGCCGTGTCTTCTCAAACAAGGATGCTTAGCCTCCCTGTGCCTCAGTTTCCTCATTGATAAGGTGGAAATGGTGCCATCTCTGTCACACTGCGGGGAAGTGCTGGCACGCGGAGCAGCAGTGAGGGTGGTAACGCCGCCTCCTCCTGGCCGCTCCTGAGCTGCCGGCTCTGTGCACATTTCTACCTGGACCCCTTCCTGACCATCAGGCTCAACGTCCCCTACCCCCAGCTCTTCCTTCTGTGCCTGCCCCGTGGTCCCCACACTCACCGTACCCACGCCCTCACCACGGTCCGGGTACCCCAGATCCAGCTGCCTCAGCCCCTGGGCTCTGCCGTCCTGGCATCACCTCCTCTCCTTTCCCGGCCTTCTTCCCAGGGGAGCAGCCTGCTGGAGGGCTGGCTCAGGCAGATCTGAGGTCTGGTTTGGGGGGGGGGGGCAGAGCCAGAAGGGCTGTGCTGAGTCCCCAGGAGGGAGAAGATGAGTTGGGGTGGGCAGGGGCAGGGAAAAGGAAGGGCCTGGGGTTGGGCAGAAGCAGCCCAGAGGGTGAGGCCAGAGGACAGGTGGGCCAGGGGTGGGTGTGGCAGCCTGATCCCCTGATTCTGTGTCCTCTGGGCCCCTCCTGCCTCTGGGCTTGGGACCTGGAGCAGCTCTCCTGCGCAGCCTGCGCCCTCTCCCTCCCCACCGATTCTGCCACCCGCAGGGCCATCTTCCCAGCCTGCTTTTGCTCTCAAACCCATAACAGCAACAGCTTCTCTTTCTCCGCTGAATTCTGTAGATCATTTTAGCACCTGGGTGTTGGGCTTCACAAGGGGCCCAATTTGGAAGTCATTTCTCTTGGGAAGAGAAGGGGTGGTGGAAAGGAGCACGGGACAAGCCAGCCTTTGTCTTCATCTGCTGTCCGTAGACTGAGTCAACGATGGGAGAGCGCAGTTCCCTGGGACCCCTGGGCTCAGGGACAGCTGGCCAGGCTCTTCTGGCTCAGGCATTTTCTGTGAATCCTTTCACTCTCTCCTCACGACATGCGGTCCTGGGATCTCCCCAGGAAAACGTTGAAATTGACCCTCACAACTAGCAATTTCTGACTCCAGCTGTTCTGGATCTGTCAGGCCCAGAGTCCTGGAAGCCCCGGCACGGTGAATATCAAGGTAACAAACGATAAATGCAAGTACTTACTGTGAGATTCAAAGGCAATAGCGGGGCATGGTAGCACATGCCTGTTATAACAGTCCCTGGGAGGCTGAGGCAGGAGAATTGCAGTGAGTTCAAGGCCAGGTTGAACTGCATAATGAGAGCCTAAGAAAACAAAAGCAAAAACAAAGGCAGTGTGCTAAGGTGGGTTGAATGTGTTGACCCAGGGGCCAGCAACTCCACACTTCCCAGCTTTGTGAACTTTGGACAAGTTGGGTTTGTGCCTCAGTTTCCTTACCTGTAAAATGGGTGTAGTTACAGGAAGTTCTTGTGAGAGTTAAATGTTTTTAATATATTAAATGCTTAAGGCCTGGAGAGATAGCTCAGAGGCATGAGCACCTACCTGGAGAGTACAAAGACCCAAGCTGGACCCACATGAGGTGTGGTCTTGCCCCAGATATGGGTACCCACCGTGTGGCCCCGGAACTTGGCATGGTGGCACATGCCTATAATCCCAGCACTTGGGAGGTTGAGCCAGGAGGATCTCTGCAAGTTCGAGGACCAGCCTGAGGGCTACAAAAATGAGCACATGGCCAGCCCAAAGTGCATAGTAAGACCCTGTCTCAATAAATAAATAAATAAATAAATAAATAAATAAATGCATGGTTAGAAGAGCGCCTAAGAAGGGCTGTGTATGTGTTAGCTGTTACTATTTAATCTTTTATTTATTTATTTATTTATTTGGTACAGGGTCTTTTTTTTTTAATTTTTAAAAAATTTTATTTATTTGTGTGTGTGTGGCCAGCTCAGCCCACCAGGGGGCGGGGCTGGCTGGCATGTGGTGCTGGGGGATTGAACCGCGGTCCCTGTGCTTTGCCAAGCTTGTTCTAGGTAGGTGCTTTAGACCACTGAGCAATCTCACCAGCCCCTGGTACAGGGTCTTACTGTGTAGTTCAGAGTGATCCTCCTGTCTCAGCATCCCCAATGCTGGGATTACAGGCATGCACCATCGCACCTGGTTCCAGGGGCCGGCACAGCCTGCAGTACCAGGGCTCAGACCTGGGTCCTCGCGCTTGCCAGGCAGGTGCTTAAACATTGAGCTATCTCTTCAGCCCAGCTGTTACTATTACTGTACATTGTACTGTCTGGGGTTGACTGTTGACAATCGTATCAAGGACCATCATTTGAGAAGGTATAAAGATAAACACTTTAAAATGAGTTATTTATAAGCATTTAGGCTATTTTTTTCTCCCCTAAATTGGAGGAAACATCATTGCTTCTTCTTTTTTTTTCCCCTCCGGAACCCGGGATTGAACTCAGGCCCTTGCACTTGCCAGGCAAGCACTTATTCTACTGAGCCGTCTCCCCAGCCCCATTGCTTGGTTTTAGCAGCAGAATACTTTGCTCCACCTCCTCCAAAGCCACTATCTGGGGGCTGGTGAGATGGCTCAGTGGTCTAAAGCGCCTACTTAGAACAAGCTTAGCAAAGCACAGGGACTGTGGTTCAATCCCCAGCACCACATGCCAGCCAGCCCCGCCCCCTGGTGGGCTGAGCTGCCCCCCCCCCACAAATAAATAAAATTTAAAAAAAAATAAAGCCACTATCTGTTGAGCACAGGAGCAAAAACGTGCTACCCGTTTTAGGTGGGTGGCAGGACTCTGCCAAGCCGCACTGTGAAGGAGCCTCAGAGCCAGGCCTCACGGTGTAGGTCTACAGCCCCACCAATCTGGGAAACTAAGGCAGGACACTGGCAAGTTTGAGTCCAGGCTGGGCAGGTTAGTGATTTAGTGAGAACCTGTGTCAAATACAAAAAGGGCTGGGATGTCGCTCAGTGTGAGGGTCCTGGGTTTCAGCCCTAGTACCACAAAAACAATAGAAAATAAACCAATATTTGGTCATCTGGTTCAGGGCCTGGCTGGCTCATGCATTTCTTTGTTTCTTTTCTACTTCTTCCTTTTTTTTTTTTTTTTTTTTTTTGGAACTGGGGATTGAACTCACTGCCTTGTGCTTGCCAGGGAAGCACT